GTGGAAGCTTCTCTGGAATACTAGGGATAGGGAGATGGATTTGCTCGACTCGTGGGAGATGAGGGCTAAGGTAGGGATAGCAGTTTTTCAGGGGACGTGGCAGGGAACAGGTGAGGTGGTGGTATAGGCAAGCAAGTTTATTCAGGTATACATAGTTACATAGAATTATCATGCATAGCAGCACGTGTCGAGAACCTAGGATAACCCAAAAAAGTCGGTGACTTATTTCCATTGGGGTCCTACCTAGAGGGACAACTGAATAGTGTTATGGGGGGGGGGAGCAAGGAAGGTATGAGAGGGGGATACGGATGGTCTAAGTCGGATTGCAGATATACATAATGAAAGGTTTAATGCAATTAGTTAGGGTGGGGTTGGAGGAGGTATCAAAGGGAGACAAACCCTCAGGTTATGTCCTGAGAAAATTTAAGGAAATGGAGATGGCGACTACCTTAGCACATCTAGTGGTCGGTTCTGGGGGAGGAGGTCATGTAGAGGGGCAAGACCTAACCAATACGGACAGCATCAATGTTTATGCACACTATTGATTTAGGAAGAAATGGAAGAGACGTCTGGGAGGATTTTTTTTTTTGTTTTGTTTTTTTTTGTGGGGGCGGACGGAATAATACTGTATTAGGACGGCAGGAAAGGGAAACCTTGGAGGGTAGTATTAGTGAGGTGGAGGTGGTGGTTTACAGGACGAGCCAGGGTAAGATGCCGGGCATAGATGAGATGCCGAACGAATTTTAGTTTATTGGGGGTGTATTAGGCATGGTTTGGTGGGAGTCTTGAATTATGTTGAGCAGTGGGAGGATGGGGAAGTCGCAGGAAACATAGTTGTGTTAGTGCCGAAAAAGGAGGGGAAAGTATTGAGTGATATATCCTTAACGAGTTCCAATTATGAAATTTGTGAAAATTTTGGGCAATAGACTGAAGTTTCTAGGATCAGTGATACATAGGGGTCAGTATGGCATTCTGGGGGAGGAGTATGAGGACTGGTCATGTAAGGTAATTTATTGAGCTGTCCCGGAGGGGAAATACTCTGGTTAGACTGGGTTAATACGTATGATTGAGTGAACAAGGATTTCTTAAGAGTTTGTTTGGAGAAGTTAGGTTTTGGAGGGGGGGGGGTGAGATGGGTGCAAACCTTGTACGAGGGAGCAGTAGTGAGGGTACAGGTTAATGGGAGGTTGGGGGATCTGGTACTGATGGAGAGAGGTTTGCGGTAGGGTTGTCCACTCCGTTGCTGTTTGCTTGTGTGCCGAATTCATTCTATGGGCTTGTGGATGAGGTGATGAATAGACAGGGGATGAGGGGGGGGGATTGCAAGGTATGTGGATGATACTACTGTACTGGTAATGGTTAAAGATTTAAGGGTGGTTGGTAGAGTAATTCAGATATTTGGGGATGCTAAGAGTATGAGTCAATCTCATGAAGTAGATTATTAGAAGTGGGGAATTGGATTGGAGGGAGGTTGGGGGAGAAGTTGGAATGGACAGTAGTAACCAGAATCAGGGTTTGTGGGGTATGGTACATGGAGGTACCAGAATGCAGGAGGGTAAATTCCGAATTAGTTAAGAGCAGGGTTTGGGTAGGCTTAAAGCTTAAGAGCTAGGGATGTAGCATTACAACAGCAAGTATTGGTGGTTAACTTGCTTGTCTACAGTAAGGTGTGGGGGTGGCAGAGGTGTTTCCTTTAAGAGTAGAAGACATTGTGGAAATCCAGAGGAGGGTTTTAAGGTATTTGGGGGGGGGGGGGGTTGGGAGGGCATGGTTACATAGGGAAGTGGTAATGGATGTGCGATGAGGGGGGGGGGGGTCTCGGCCTGTTGGCGTTGGGTCCTGGAGTAATGGCTATATACATTAAACAAAGGTATATTCAGGCAAGGGGGGATTGGGGTGTTAGGGTGGGCAGGGTGATGGAGGATGCATGCAGATGGTGGTGTGGTAGGGATTTGAGGAGTCGAGGACATGTTGAGGTTTTTATAGACTAAGACAGTTGTCCAAATTAAAGGTAAAAAGGTTGGTGCATGATGTGGGGGGGTCAGGGTGTTTTACAAGCGGTAGTTGTATACCCAACGTATGACTGGCAGACCATTTGGAGGGAGTTTAGCTTGCTTAGGATACCAGTGGGGGGGGGGAAAGGGAGTTAGTATATCACTTTATTATGGGATTTTTGGCCTCTGAGGAGAGCTGTGTAAAATTTGTCTTGTAAGAGAGGCCTCGTGCTTGCAATGTGGGGATGTCGAAACAGCTTTTCATGCCATAATTTTTTTTGTCCCTTTTTGGAGGGAGTGAGATTATGGATGAGGGGTGTTATCACTTTTTTTTTTTTTTTTTCCCGGGGGAGGGGGGGGTTGTTCCTACGGGCTTTATTGTTGGATATAAATGGGGTGCCAAGGGATGTGGGAAGGGCTTTAATGTATGTCATGGCATTAGCAGGGAGGTTTCATAGAACTGTAGGAATAGACAAGTCTATGGGAGGGGGGGGGCAACCAGCTTCTCGGAGGGTTACCGGAATATCACTGGGTCTCCTCCTTCTCGTGGACCCAGGGGGGGGGGGGGCAGCAGGCAAGGGGTTGGTCTCCTTTCGAGGGATGTATGTAGGGTGGGGTCGTTCAGTTGCAAGGGTTAGAAGTGTGTGCAGTGTGGATGTTTGCTAGGGTTTTGTTTGTGAGGTTTTCTCAAAAGTACTATCTTTCTCTTGTGCATGCAAGAAAATCAAACAATATAATAATAATCAAAGAATGAGTTTGAGGCATCCTATGTTATCCTAATGGTTATGTTCACTGCATTAAGGATAACCTTTATAACGGTGATAACTAGATCTTGGGATCTCATGTTAGGAACAGAGCTGTCATTTTTATCCTGTCACCTTTATTGCTGTTAAAATTTTTGTTTGAAGGGTGATGTGACCCTTTATTTTTGTAATTGTTGTATGAATTTATGGCGTTTGGTACCATGTGTAGTGGGATAGTTTCAGGGGCAACAGTCTTTGTATAAAGTATTGGTGACTGATGTATTAATAATGCTTTGATGCATTATGCATCTTTGTAATACTGGTGTTTAATATTTGTCGTTAGTATTGTATATATTGGAAATCGAAGACAATTGTATTATGCACTCTGAGAACTCGATTACTTAGGGGAACTACCATAGGTGAGGAGGGGAGAGGTGTTTTGGGTTTGCAGGGTGTGTTTAGGGCTTTACAAAAATTTGTTTGTAATAAAGATATGTAAGAGATAATGCACTGGAAACCTCGTTTTGGATATAGCTGAGCAATGTTTCAGTTAAATTTTGGGTTTGTTTATACAAGGTGGTGAGTGGTCATGTCTCGCCAGAGTATTGGTTGTTTTACAATGTTGAGGTACACGTTTGGTTGTGTATACTTAATAAAACTGATTGTTATACGATGATGTATGATAGTTGTATGTTAATCATGTGTATACTGTTCGTTTTTAGGGTTTTCCATATTTATCACTTGGGTTATTATTTGAAGTTCCAATAATGCACTGGATAACTAGTATCGGACATTGCAGTGTTTTGTTCGGTTTTAATTTTTGTGTTTTTGAGTTGTATATAGGTGGTGAGTGGTTAAGTTACTTCAGGGTATTGGTCTAACAATCTTCTGATGTGGAAGTTTTGATTGTTTATCCTTTATAAACCTGATTGTTATTCGATGTATGCTCTAGTTGTATGTAAATGTGTATACTGTTCTTTCAAATAAAATAAAAAAAATATTCACTGCAGAGCTACATACAATTTATGATAGTTGCCTTTGTTCTTGGTTCACTGTACTGATTACCATGTCTTTAAAAAGATCGACTTACTTGATGCTACACAAAGATGTGGAATTCTGATTTAATCTCTAGCAATTAACATACTGATGTCTCCCCCAAAAACTGCTGTAGACATGTGTATACTCGAGCAGAGTCAGCCTTGTGGACTGTGCTAAACCCTCCTTAAATAGTAACTCGGTTCGATGGTCTACTGAAGATTGGATACATTTCTCCTTTCCACTGCTGTATAACCCTTGTGGTTTAGAGCTTCTGTAATTATAATCTCCTTTCCACACGTTTCAGGTATTCCCCTCTTCCTCTGTAATTTTTTTCTAACTTTTAGCTATTCTCTTTTAGTTTCTCTGACTCTGTACTTTAGTCACGCTGTTTATAACTGCCAAAGAGCCTGTAAAGCCCAAACTTTCCTAGGTGATATAGGATACAATTGTGATAGCATTTTGAGTTTAACTTTTGCGTTTTCTCACTGCTGAGTGACCTGGTCGAAGTAAAGTTCAATGTATAACTTATTTCACCTACCTGAAAATTTAATTTCTTAAATGACAGGCCTGGAAGGCTCTAAAACTGTGTTCGACAGGTAGGTAACGCCCTTCCCATCCCCCACAGCTCGGACCTGGATTTGGTCACCAGCACGGTTGAAACTTTAGACATAATTCCTTTTACTGTCTTCCCTTATCAACCTTTTAGTGCCTTCCGGAAGATGAAAACTGCCTTAATTTGAAAGACCCGTCCCTGATAACTTGCTACCGGGTTACTAACCTCTGTAAAAATCAGAGGATTAGATTCTGTACCTTCATGACAAGACAGCGTTAGTATTTCTCCTGTAGGAACCAGCTTAAAAGTTCCATTCTTGAACCAACATATTTTCGCTCTTAGGGGTAGGTCTCCCCCGGCTTGAACCATTTTAAGTGGCTTATTTACCAGAATACCCGTGGACGATGGGAGAGGGGGGGGTAGGTTCTTTATTTAATATATTTAATAGGAATGTTGATTGCTTTTGTGCTGGTTCCTGCTTATGTTAGGAATGCTGATGTTGGAAGTCTTAATTTCTCCCATCCCTCCTGGGTTACAAATTAGCGACCAGAGGACAAATTTTTTTAAATTACCCACAGACCTTCATATCATAGTGCTTAGGGTTTCGATTAGTATATTTTTTTATCCTTTACATTTACGTGTAGTAAAATTTGCAATGTTTATTTATTACAGGTTGTGACAGATTGTGATCTAGACAGTGTGATAGCCAGTTTGAAAACGTATCGATACAAATCTTCAGATGGCCCTTTATGGTGCGCTAGGCTCCTCCCTGCTGCTGCTGCTACTCTCGAAAGACGGTCTGAGACTCTGCCTACTGCTGATGATCCTGCCACTAGCATACCTACTGTGTCCACTGCCTGCTCTGATGCTTTACCCCCATACTACAATGCTTGCTGCTACTGAACTGGAGCCCAGTGGAGCTGCTGCTACTGGTGCTATTCCGCGCACGACCCTTCGCAGAGGCTTGTCATCCCCACCCTCCATAGCGGAGCTCTCCTCAGTTTTTAGTAGGTCTAACCTTTCCTTTACCCGTTCTTCTGCCGCACCCGCTGCAGAATCTCCACCTTTAAAAGCTCTCTCTCCTCCCTCCCCAGACTTCACAAATTGCCACGAGTCTTCTCAACCTCCTTCCTCTTCGGCATCTCTGAAATCTTCCCCCAAATCTTCAGTGTCTTCCTTACCTTCTTTTCCATCATCAGTGTCTTTGCCAGGCATTTCCTCTGTTTCATCAACACCCTCTTTGTCTCCATTACCTTCTACCTTCTCTTTGCTAACAGATTTTAGCTTGCCCAGGACGGACACCGCCAGTACCTCCTGTAGATCCTTGTTACCAGGCCATTCATCAAAGTCTTTACCCGAAGGCAGTTTGGAGGCATCCTCGCAAATTGGCACTCGTGCTAGATCTGAGTTAACGTCAGTTTCTGACAAACGTCCTAAGTCGGCACCAATGTGTTTACTACATAATGCTCAGTCTACTAGCTCCCCACCTGGTGTGCTTTCTACTAGCTCTTCACAGCGTGACAGTAACGTTCAGACATCTACACAGGATCCCTCTACCCTTCCTCTTGCTGAGCAAGAATGGTCGCCGTGGCCTTTTACAAGCCAACTGGCTCTTGGTATACACAATGGTACAGCTGATGGCTTCACTGCCCTAAAGATCTGCGGGTTTTTCCTGCAGTTGCTGAATGATGTCATAGCTGGCACACCCATTAATGATGAACAACTTGCAGAGTTTGTCGCCGGTGAAACTTCTACACTAATAGCAGAGAAGAAAGTTGCTATAGAAAGTAACCCCTCGCTGAAACTTTCTTTAACAAAAGAGTACGTGAGGAAGCAGAAGAAATCCGAATTGGAACTGCTTTTCGAAGTTTCCGAAGGGCCAGAGGACCAGGCACTTCACCTGACTAGCGTCCTGGACCAACCCACTACAAAGTTACTAAGAGAGAGGTGTTGTACTGAGGGTGTGACTCTTCATTCTGCTTTCTGTGCTCTGGCTACTGTGGCTTTCGTTGACCTACTGGTGGCTAAGGATATAATTTGCGAAAAGTATGTGTCCAGCAAGCACATTATAAACATGAGACATTATTGGAGGGGTGATTCATCTCTTGCTTTTGGCTGTCACATAGCGCACCTCAATCTGCGTACAAAGATCCAGAGAGAAACAATGGAAGATTTTTGGAGCTTTGCACGCTCTTTTCATGAAAAACTTCAGGAAGAAATGGATGGTACTAATATCTTGCAGGAGGCGGCGCTGAATGAGATATGTCGCTCCAATGTGCAGGACAGCAGAGATATATTTCTGAAACCATCGACTCGTCAGACTGATTATTATGCTTCTAACATGGGTGATGTGACTAGTTTGCTACAAGGAGGACCTCATGTACGCCTAGAGTTCATATTGTCCACTGTATCGGTTAGTAAGTTTAATATATCCTGTGCTCACCTCTTCCATACATACAGAAGCAGATTCGTCCACACGCTTGACTACTCTACAAAATACATGACAAGGGATCTAGCAGGGAAGTATTGCAACAAAATATTCGAACTGTTACAGAAAGTCTTGTAATTCAAATGAGTGAAATTCCCTTAAATTTAAGAAAGCTAGATCTCTTGCCTATTATCATACGTTTATTAAAATCTTCCACAAAGAAATTTGGCTTGAGCCTCTTTCTGACCTGATAAACTAAACTGGTATATATATAGCTTATTTTAATGGTATGCACTGATCTTATTTAAACTAATTTTTTAGATAATTTATACTAGCTTCGTTAGTTTTATAACTTTTCAAGAGGGTAATTTGAGTAATGGCAAGTAATTCCAAAGCATTGGCTTTTCTTGATAATTTTTTTTATCTTTATTTGATTCGGTGTATTTGAATAAAACTTTCTAAAATTACTGGATGAATCTGTCTCCCTAACGTGAACAAGTCTAAAGCATGAACTTGTTAGTGTCTTCCAGGAGGATCACTTCTGCTGGTGAAGTTCTTTTCAAATTGGCCAGATACTCTCTTCCTGGAAGTCTTCAAAGGAAGGGGAGGGGGGAGGGGTCTTTACGTGAAAATACTTGAAATATTTTTTTCCCCTCTTCCCCTCTACATTTACGTACCTTCCTTTTCCATCAAACCTTTCCCCCATCCCACATTTCTCCCAACCCTTTCCTACATTCGGCCTTTAGGAAGTTCTTAGAAAATTATAGCTACTCGGTTGAGAAAAGTCTCCTGGTATCATTCCATTGAGGTCCTCGGTAGCAGGGTTTGCCATGGAATCTGGCCCATCTTGAGTGTCCCTAAGGTAATAGGTGCATCTCTACAGGCTTCATCTTACAGGGGCTGGGGGGGGACGATGAGAGGTATTCCTTGTAGCTTTCTTCCAACCGAAGCTTGGTCTGTGGAGATGGCTCAGTGGATGAGATTATCCTTCATGCCAGTAAACCGGGAATCAAAGTTATAGCAAGAGTTCCATGCAGCATCTGCACAGAGGGTCCTCTTGGTAGCAGAGGGGGATGTGTGATCTATTACCTATGCTCTATACTTTGGGCCCCTCAAGGAAGGTTCCTTGATGCTGGTGAGGGGGCTCTTTATCTTGGGAACTGGATCTGTTAAAGTTCTCTGTATTAAGCATGAATACTTTCCCTTCCACCCCACAGGTGCCATATAATCCTACAGGCTTAGTGCTTCCCCTTTGATCATAATACACTACTTGAGGGGGGGGAACCCCCTCCCCCAAAGTTAATCTTGGACACCCACCATTCTCTCCCCTTCCTCTACACAGGTTGTTTAATATCTTCTATTTCTACATGTACAAAGTATACAGACCGTAGCTGACATCCTCTTCGAAGGGGGGGGGGACCATGACCGTGGTCTGGTGAAGAGGCTCTTGGTCTGAGAAATTATACCATTTGGTCTCCTTCCTCAGACCAAACCCAATTACCCTCCCCACTTCCCCATCCCTTCCTCCCCATCCCTTCCTCCCTATCTACTTTTTCCCCTTTCCTCCCTCTCCCTTTTCCCCCATCCCATTTGTAACCTCTGGGGTCCTCCCTTCTGGCATTAGTTTCTAGGTAGGGGGAAGTTTGCAGGGGTTCATCCCACTCCGTGGAGTCCCTCAGGAGTGGTGTATTTTGCCGTGGAATCTGAATAATCTGGAGGTGACCTGTTGCCTTCCAAGATTTCCAGATTGTGGGGCAGGGTGTCCTGCAAATGACAGCTGTATCTCCAACAGGCTGCCTGTCTGCTCTGGGAGGTATGGATTGTGGTTGTCTGACCACCCTCTTTCGTATGCCGAGGTGGCTGAGGATGTGAGGTTGTTAACCTGGAGTACTGGTGTGATGGTAAGGTATGGCACGGGTTCCACACTGTATCTGCACTGCTGGCAGTGTCTAGGTCCTTAGGGATTAAAGGAGGAACTTGTGGCCCTTCCATGCCTTATAGTAACTGTTCCTCGGCTTTCCCCCCCCCCAGTGCCATCATGGAGCCTTCGTTCTGTGACCCCCCCCCACTCCCTTCCTCCCAGGCCCCCATTTTGTTACTGCATCCTGTTCTGACCTGGCTTCATTATTGGACCATTCTTCAGACTTTTCCCAATACCTGTGCCTTTTGCTGGTGATGCTTTGTCACCTACTCATGTTTTGAGGCTCTGCTAGTTTCTACTAGTGCCTCTGCCCCTTGCACATTTTTTACCTATGCATCCTGCTTCTTCAAATATGGTGCCAGTTTTCGGATTGCCCAGCTGCCTCGGGTTGGGTCACCCAAGGTCCCGAGCCAAAACATTAGACTATTTGTTGACGATGGTCCTTAAATTTCCTCTCATTCCACCAAGAAACGATCTACACTTCCTTTACACGCCATATTTAAAAGTACACGGTGGACTAAATTATTTTCCTTGCAACCGAAGTCTCCAACCGATTATCTTTCAGACCACAACATCGGTAAAGCTCTTTTACGACATGTTGGCCAAAATGTATCCTTTCACGCTCTTCGGAGTGGTGCACTCATCGTTAGTTCAGAATGGGGGTTAAGCTCAATCTTTACCATCTTCCTTCCATTGATGACATTCCTATCACAGTTCACAAGCACACTACTCTCTATTGCAGTGGTACGGTGGTTTTATCGCATACCATATTGTACAGTGATTTTCTGTATTGCGGTAAGGATATTTTAGAGCAATTAGCCTTTCAGGACCTTCCAATTCTCAAAGTGGATACACAAGTCCTGCTCGCTTATGGACGGAGATGTTTTCTCAGTAACATCACCTGCTTAACCTTTGACTGTTGTGAACTCCTATACTCCATTTACATCATAGTACATTGCCTAGGGGTAGGTAAAGTGGTCCCAACACCCCAACAGTGTGGAAATTGTTAGCCCTTTGGATATCCAGCTAAATACTGCATGTATGCAGCAGAGGGCCTGGTCTGCAGTGCTGAAGTATTCTTCACTCCCTACTTGTCTTAATTGCCCTGATTCGATTCCTGGTGGGTGGAAGCATTTAGACAGTTTCCTTACACCTGTTGTCCTGTTCACCTAGCAGCAAATAGGTACCTGGGTGTTAGTTGATTGGTGTGGGTCGCATCCTGGGGGACAAGATTGAGGAACCCAATGAAAATAAATTAGTCCTCGATGACACACTGACCTTTCTTGGGTTATCCTGGGTGGCTAATCCTACGGGGTTAAAAATCCGGACAAAATCTTATCTTTATCTTAATGAATATGAAATAAGTTACCTTAAGGAGAGCAAAAGCCTTACTTATACCATGACTGTCTCTCGGCTCTGCCTTCAGGGGAATCTTCATTTTCCTTATTCTCGAGTAGCTAGGAGACCTCCAACCTTGGTGTTTCCCTTTCCTACCAGCTTTTCTGGTGACGTATCTTCCAGGGTCACCCTCATTTCTAATTCTTTCGCTGTTTTACCCTCTGAAACCCTTGCTTCTTCCTACCTCTACTCTTCATGGGGGGGGGGGGGGCTCCTTGGCAAAGTGAAGAGGCTCTTGATCTGAGGAATTAGACCTTTTTGGTCTTCCTCACACCAAACTTATACCCCTCCTCCCCCCCTCCCCGATTCTCTTCCTATTTTCAATCTTTGGGATTCTTCCCACAGGCACTCTAGTTCCTAGGTAGGGGGAAGGGTACAGAGGTTCATCCCATTCCGTTGAGGTCCTTGGCTGTAGTGTATTTTGCCGTGGAATCTGGTTTGACATGATGTCCTGATCCCTTTCTGATCTTCCAGGGGTTGTGGGGTGGCTTTGGGGTCTTTATGTAAGGTTTTTTGGAGGAATTTTCATTCAAAGGGGGGGTGGGGAAGGGTTTTTGGGGGGTGGGGAATTTTTGCCAAAATTCCTCTTTTAGGGGGTACCCAAATTCTTTTTTTAAAGGGGGGGTTTAAACGGATCACCATACTGTTCTTTTCAGGCCCGGGGGGGGAAAAAATTTTGGGCCCCTTTTCCTACCTTGGATATTTTCCCCACATTTCCCCCTTTTTCTGTGGGGAAACCTTCATGGGTTTACCCTCCATTCTGTTCTCCCCCTCCCAGGCCCCCTTCCCCCCCTTTTGATTTCCCCCCCCTTTTTTTGACATTTCAGCATTTTAATGCCAGCCCTTTGGGTTTTTCCCTTCCCCTACCGGGGAGCCCTTTTTTGGACCCTTTTTTTCCTTTGACTATGTTTGGGGTTTTTTCCCTCACGGAAGAATTTTAAAATTCCCCCCCATATGGACCCCCCAGCCCCAAAAAATAAAACTAATCTCAAATTCTCTTTTTTCTGGGAAAGCCCAAGTTAGATCTTTTCCCCTTTTCAACTAAAAATTACTTATTTTTTTTATTTTAACAACAATTTCCTTTAAATTCAATTTTTTGGAAATCTATCCTATTTAAAAATTACCCCCATCTTAAAAATACATCTCTTTTTAAAATTAAATTTACATCTTTTATTACTTTCTATTATACTATAATATTACTATTAATATATATACTTATATTATATATTATACTATTAATATATATTTATATATACTATTTTACAAATTTATAAAATTATATATATATATTTACTTATATTATACTACTTACTATTATACAAATTTTTTTTTTTTTTTTTTAAACTATTTATATATACTTACTTACTATTATACACTATCTATTTACTATACTATACTATTATATACTACTTTACTATTATATACTATTAAAATATTTACTATATAACTATTATACAAATACTTCCCTATTTACAAACTCTTTTTTAACATATATTTTTCTTCATTAAATTTATTTCAAATTATTTAAATCTTATTTTATATACAATATTTCAAATTACCATATCTTTTAACCCCCCCTTTTTAAATCTTTTCCTTTTAAAAACCCCCCTTTTTTCCCCCCCCCAAACAATACACCCCCCAAACCCCTTCCCGGGTTTTAACTTTTTTGGGGGGCCCTTTTCCCGGGGAAACCTGCCTTCGGGGGGGGTTCACCCCCTTTTTTAAAATGGCCCCCCTGTCGGGCAGCATTTCCCCCTTCCCGCCAAAATGGTCCCCCCCTTTGGATTGGGCCAACCCTTTCCCCCCTTTCCCCTTCCCCCCACCCCCTTTAACCCCCCCCCCCCCCCCCCCCCTTTTTCCCCGCCCTGGGGCCGGGCCCCCCCCGGGCCCCCCCCCCCCTGGTTTGGAAGGGAGGCCGCCCGGGACTGGTCCAAACCCCGGGACTGGTCCGAACCGGGATGGTCCAAAACCCGGGACTGGCCGAACCGGGATGGTCCAAACCCGGGATGGTCCGACCCGGGACGGGCCCGAACCCGGGACTGGCCAAACCCCGGGACTGGTCCGAACCGGGAGGCCCCGAACCCGGGATGGCCAAACCCCGGGGGACGGGTCCGAACCGGGACTGGTCCAAAAACCCGGGATGGCCCG